TCTAGGTATAAAAACTAGGCTAATAAATAAGTACTAACTTCTTTAATTAATAACTAAGGAATAGACTATTTATTTCTATTCCTTTTATTATTCTAACTTTATTAATATTATATCTATTCCTTTACTTAACTAGGTATATTACTAGTATTATAAAGAGTATAAAAAATACCTTTATTAATTTAGAAGAAGCTTTATAATATTAATTAGAGTTAATCTTCTTACCTTTTAATATCTTAATATTAAGATTTTATCTTAAAAAGCCCTATAACTAGTTCTTTCTAATACCTTTTAGGAAACTATTATAAATAGTAATCTTACTAGTAAACTCTTTAACTTACTAATATAATATAGGGTATCTTAGATTAGCTTAAATAATAATCTAGTCTTAAAGACTTTTTTCTTAAGTATTAGAAAGCTTTTAGTAAGGTTTTTAGGCTTTTCTTAATATTATACTTCCTTTAATCTAACATTAGAGCATAAAATAGTTAATACTATAAGCTTTAGCTGCTTTATTTATAGATATACTATCTATAACTATCTAAAGTATAGTACTTATATCTTTTTTAGTAAAAGAAGGTATTTTAAATTAATTAGTATTAGTTTAAAATTAATTAGAATTAAATTAATAGAGTTATAACTATTTAAAGTATATATAAATTAGGTAGCTAGGTTAAGAATAAGGTAGCCAGTCTGTGGGGGTGGCCGGTCTTTAGGTGGGGGACGTTAAACGTAATAAAGCATGCATAAGAACAAGTCGAGAGCCCTCCGAGTCATCTCCGCAACCGGTGTCCCAGGTCCAGACTCAATTTCATGCCGCTGGCATCTTCAAATGGGTACCCTCCGTGTGTAGCGTGACTCACCAATTTCGGACACGTCCAAAGGCAAAGCGGTTTGTGACAACCCTTGGCAAGGGACCTGAACTCGGGAGTGTAAGGACGGGACCGGAACCCCGTACCGAAAACGGGCTGCCGCATAGAGTCTAACTCAAACATCTGACTCGGCAACAGGGTTCAGTTGGTTCGATGGGTCTAGAGTGGCTCTTCTTGAATTGTTTCCCACCTAAAAACGTCAATTAGATGCCTGGATTTGGTTAACCCTGGTAGGTGGGCTGGGCTATAATACGGGATCAAGAAAGTGATCATCTTGAAGATGTCTGTAGATCATCGAAGGGAGTGAAATGCTGTTGAAGAAAAGAAGCCCAAGTTTTCATTACAAGGCTCTTATCAAGATATCGTCATAGAAAGGATCATCTGTTTCTTCAGATTTAAGCCTAAAATGTTGGGGGAAAGTTTGATGTTACTATTGTTACTCTTGGTGTGTGGGTTCTATCACAACTCAAATGCCTCGGCCACCCTTCAAGATTTTCCGTCCTTGTGGACGACTCTAGCAGGCAGAGCCTGGCAATCTCTGTCATTCAACTGGTCACCGTATCATCCCCGCAGTTTGTGAAGCCCACTTGGTTGGCTCCATGATTGCTTGTCCAAGCCTAGTCAGGGGTCTATCGCACACTTGGACTTTGAGCTCAAGCTAATGTCGGATGCACATGTTTAACGGGCCTTTGAATTTGAACAAAAGGGAACCCTTTGCCTTCTCGCCCGGCTCTAGAAAGTCAACAAAGCACCAGCGATAGACAACGTCCTTCCTTCAGCTCTGAGCTTGGAGGGTAAGCACAAGTTTCTGATTCTTATCCCCGATCCTCAGCCGACGTGGCTCATTTCTTATAACAGTGTCAACATCGACACCTTCCAACACCCGTCTCACCACACCACACACTCAGTACCGGATTCAGTGTGTCTCGCCCACAATGACGGATCGAAGGCCCGTCCTCACTCTCCCGCTCCCAGCTCGGGATCCCTATGAATCTCAACGACCTGGGTCATTACTTCAAAGCCCATCAATACGCAGCCCCCGATTTCATGAGGACTTCGATGCACCCTTCTCGTTGGACATCATGAACGCCTCGAGAACAACTCTCGCAACCGACACCATGAGTTTTCCTTCAACTGGCACAACTAGCCGTAACAGTTTTGGCTGTGATGGTGACCGACCGTCACCCCTTCAACACCGCAATGCCTCCTGGGAATCAGAGACCAAGCGTCGGTCAAAGGTCAATGATCGCATCCTGGAGTGGGCAAAGAGATCATGGGGAGCTGTACGCACGCGGTCCAACTCCAAGGATGACCCCAAGGACGACTATTTTGAGGGTCACTCAGCCCAGAGCCCAACAAGCGATATAACGTCACCTTCATCCGATAACATCACACATTCAGAGCCCGACGGCGGCCGAGCAACCCACGACAGCCAAGTTTTTGCTGTCACTAGGTTGCCAAGTTCGAAGGCAGGATCGAAGTGATGATTTGAAAAGGACTTCACGTACCCTTATCTTAATTATTAATGAGGTGGGAAGGCTAGTAACGAATAATGTCGGCGTTAGGAGGCACTTTGTTTCTGCTCGGCTCTATGAGATGACCGATTGCAAGACCAAGGGTCTTGGATTTTAGGATTACCGAGGAACCAGACCTCAATAGGAGGCACGTCCTCAGAATACACCACCGCCAATGATGAAAAGGCGCTCTTCTTCCCTCTTGGCCCACTGGATAATCTTGTTCGCTCCTTGTGTAATGGTCGCTCTCGACACATTAGGTCCAGCAACACAGTAAAACTCAAACACAGGTGTGGTCCAGGCCAATGAAGTTGCATCATCTCCGACAGCGTGCAGAACTTTGAGATGTGAATGTTTGGCGTGAATGGATGCATGAAGCTCGTGGTACACCGTCATCAATCTCCTGCGATCAACAAGACCAGTGAAGTGCGGCTCCAATGACGCCATGCAGAATTGTACATTGGCCCGCGACTTGTAAAGGAAGTGGCTGACTTGACTCCCAGGGGCAATTTCGTGTATTTTTGGCCGACCAAGACGGGTGGCGTTCTGAATAATAGCCAATGTCCCGTTTTTAGCAAGCTGCTGGGCGACGTTGTCCCGCATCTGCTTCAACTCGAAGAAACTCTCGCGATCCGTGCTTACGAGGATCATTGCGATTTCTTCTCCTGACGAGCGCCCTTGTGCCGCTGTAGGAGAACTAGCTTGATCGCCAGTAGTGCCGTCAAAGAAACTGACGTACATGTAAAGATAACCTTTGTTGTTGAAAGCGGGTAGGCAAATGGGGATCCAGTTCTCTCCACCACCACCCTTGATGCCGTCGCTCTCGAAGAGCATGTTGAAAATAAGTTGCAGGTCGCTAGGATGAAGTGAATGTCGACGAGGCCGAATGACGCTGACAAGTTTCCCACCAGCCACAATTAGACCATACAGCAACTTATCTGTACGCAATTTCAGGAAAGTATTGTTGATTGCATGCCGCTGAGACTTCCGAAGCCGGAGACATTCTAAAGATCCAAGCAAAGCCGAAGCAGACCCCTTTGTGAACGTATCAGCCAGAGAAGACAGAAGACCCTCAGTCCCTTCGAGAGGCTTTCGTAAGTCGGTTGACGGTCGGTTCGCAAAAATATGAGTTAGTCTGGGCAAGGTTAGTGTTGACAAGATTTGCATATGTAGCGCATCCAATTGTGCCTGTATCTGCGAGTCGCTTTCGCCCAGTTTGCTGATAGCGACAAAGTAGAGCGGGCCTTTGGTCAGGATGACAAAACGAGTATCCCCGGCAGAAAAGGCCTGGAGGGGATTCATGGCACCTTCATAGAATGAAATGATGGTTTGAACAACGCCCATGGAGGAGTTTATCAGACTTAGATCTCCATAGCGGCTCCAAATTGGCTTTCCGGCTGATGAAAGAATCAGATAATGCTTCAGTTTCGACTTCCAGAGATGCAAGATGTCAGATTCAGCATCTTCGTCGTAATCCTCTGGTAGAGGATTGAACTCGTGGTGAAACTCAGCGAAACGATCGTTTGCGCCTACTCTGCCTTTCTCGAAAGGAAGAACAGTGGCCGACTGAGTTCGCAGCATCTTCCAAGCTGGACTCTTCTTATGTAGTTCACCGGTAAGTAGACTTGCGATGTCGCCAGCAGGTCGCATTGTTGGTGCAAAACTCATGATACTAGCAGTCTCGTCTGCCTCACCGCTGCCACTACTCTCTTGTCGATTTGGGGAAGCATGATCACCCTCGGCGGGGCTTGGGAGTGATTCGGGCCCAGGAGTGGGAAATGTCCCTCGAGATCCATCAGGAAAAGAGAGCGTCTGTATTTCAACAGGAGTTATTGCCGTGGTAGCATGAGCTTGCAGTGAGGCTGTGTCGGTAGAGCTCGTTGACGGCCGAGGCGGTAGAGGTGGACGATAATCTTCGTTTATGGGAGACGCTGGGTTTTGGATCATCTTATCTGACTCCATGATTGCGGCGGATAGCTCACTCGTCGCATTTCTTGGCAGAGAAGCCTGTTGGGGGGGGAGAAGGAAGAAGACTTATTTTTGCCAGAATCATACGACCTGGAAATCCTCTGGAGATATGAGGCGATGCCATTATGCCATCTTGAGAGGCCGCATATGATCAAGAAGCGATGATATCGACAAAAAAAGAGGCGGCGCGGCTCTTGTGACGTTGTATAGTGGTGCCAAAATAAACTGGTCTAAAAGCTGGATAAAATAGACTGAGTTCACTAAGTATTTTTATCACTTAGATAAGAGGTCCTACCTACCTAAGCTTTTGGTTCTTGCTTCCCTTTGGGGGCATGACGTGCTGGAGCTGTTGCAGCCTTGCACTAACAGGTCTAAGGCTTGCGAGCTCAAGCCAATCAAAGCCCTCCACACTCACAGAGCTCCGCCAATTTCAGGGCGGTTTCAGTGGGTGCAGTTGAAGTTACCTATATGCTCCACGTAGCCTTCTGATTGAGATCGGTGCGCCTGCATGATTACGACGATTCATAGAAGACCCTGTAGACCATTTTTTTGCGATCCTTAGCCTCTAGCGATGCCTTTTGCTGCTGTCGCAACACGGTAGGATACCCAATGTCCTTGATTTCACCTATAAGCGCATATTTCACTAGCCATGGCTCTTGAGCCCGGGTCCGGTCGCCGCTCAGTGTCTCCCGAGAGCTCGGGTCGAGAATCACCTATTCCACGCCAATGGAGGAACCAGCTGGGTGAAGGTGGGTGTGCGCCTTTAATACAGAGAGAAATTGGATCATTTTCTGACTCACAGCGCAGAAGATTATGCCATCAAAGATAAATCTTATCGCAAATATGCACACGGAGTTGATAGGGCACTTGTCTTGTTCGAGACAGCTTTGGAGGAATGGGCAGACTACATTTCGTTTCTGAACAAGCTCCTCAAGGTATGATGTATGCGGAAATTACCAGGTGGTATAGGTTAATAACGAATCTCAGGCTCTACAAGCTCGTCCCAAGTCGATCAATGCCATCCCGTCCAAAGCGACTGTTGCGAAACGACTCTCACAGTGCCTCAATCCCTCCCTCCCGTCTGGCGTGCACCAAAAAGCTCTCGAATTGTATAACCTGGTATTCTCGGTCATTGGCAAAGATGGTCTATCGAGAGACCTACCTCTATATCTGCCAGGATTGGCCACAGTCCTCTCTTTTGCTTCGCTATCAGTCAGGGCACCATATCTAGATCTCCTGGAACGGCACTTCCTTGGCATCGACCCCCGATCGCTTCGCCCAGCAATGAAATCTATAATACTTGCTCTGCTTCCTGGCCTCGAAGAAGAGACAAGTGAAGACTTTGATCGAACACTGCGCCTTGTGGAGAGTTTCAAGCATGCCATTAGGCCCTCGTATAGCGAAGAAATCACCAATCAGCACTCCTCAGGCGATGCTTTCTTTTGGCAATGTTTCTTCTTAGCATCGATCACTAGCCAGAGTCGTCGCTCTGGGGCACTGGCGTACTTGGTACGCTCTCTGCCGCCTTTGGGGCCAAGGGCAGCCCCTGACCCGAACAAGTCAGCGACATCGCAAAGCGATAGCGACGAAGATACTCAAAGCAAGCTCGCGGAGCTTGTGACATCCCCAGAGCCAGGGCTCTTGCTACGTTGCTTTGCGAGTGGCCTTTCTGATGAACAGCTACTAATTCAGCGCGGCTTCTTGGACCTCCTAGTTTCTCATCTCCCACTAAATGCTCATGTTATTCAGTCCCGAGTAAAGCCGGATGACCTCGAACTACTGCTCAAAGCGGCCATTGGCGTAGTCACTCGGCGTGATATGAGTTTGAACAGACGCCTTTGGGCGTGGCTGCTGGGGCCTGAACCAGCCGCTGAACATGAAGCCAGCGGCGACAATCCATCCAGCCCTCCTGCTGACCAGCATGCCTTCTTGGCTTCAAAGACTAACTATTTCGAAGAATTCGGATTGCAACCCCTGACTAAGGCTATCCTGCAAATGATTGAAAGCAATTCTCATAATACAGCTAGTGAACGCGCCAAACCTTACAGAATATGCTTGTCTTTGATGGATCGATGGGAAATTGGCGGTTTAGTTGTCCCTGAAGTTTTTCTGCCCATTATCGAGAGCGTACGTCGATTCAAGGACATTGCCTCAAGCAAGACAGAGTTTAGCGAAGTCTTGCGGAGTGCTAGCGTCTTCTTCGATGGTATCGAGAGCGGCCTCATCTATGGTGAGATTGCTTCACTTCTTGCCCAGGCTTTGGGTCCTGGAGCTCTCAGTCCACCCGAGCGCAACGACAAACTTTCACTCGTCAACTTTATCTTGTCCAACTTCAACGTGCGGGAGGAAGAGATGGTCACACTTCATGCACCTCTGTGTTGTCTGACAGCATTGGCTATGCTCCAAGACTTCAAAGAGCGCGTCTCCGCTAAGAACCACTTGGATCCGCAAATGTTGTCCCTTTCTACCCAAGCCCTGAGCGTTGCTATGTCACTCTTGGAGCTCGTTCCAGAGAGGGTCTTTCCTGTGATCAGCAAGGACTCAGAGAATCGAAGCAGAAGTTTGCCGACAAACGTGGAGATTTTGAAGAAGTCACAGAGCTTTTATGTCAATGAACAGGGTAATATTGAGGCGTCTGCTCCCCCCTTTAATGCTTTGACTATAGGACGAGCTATCCTGGAAAAGGCTGCTCAATTTGTCTGCCAGGATATGGTATCATCTGAGACTGATCTCAATGCTTGTATTCGATTACTCGTTCTTGTGATCCACAAGACCCCAAGAACATATGAAGCCAAAGAGGAGGAACTCCTGCAACTCATGCTTGGACTCCTTGAACACCCAGATATCATGGCGTTTTCGTCCTTCTCGGCTATCCTGCAACTGTTGACTCAGCTTTACTATGCTGAGAGGATCGAGACAGCACAATTATCAAGTCTGGTGCCTCTCTTGGTCCGGCATGCCTGGACTTACCTTTCAGCATCTGAGCCAAAATACCATGTCGAAGCAGTCAGGTGTTTATGGCAATTGCAGTCGGCTCTGTCCACATCCAATCGCGATATTGAAGCAGCATTGTCCAGTCTTATCATCTCACAAGAGACCGCTCGTCTGGGAGCTATCGAGGCTGTTGACAAAGGTCGTGCTTTGAGTGTGCTATGGTCACACACTTTACAAGACAATGTGTCACCTGAGCGTCGAGGTTCTAAGACCCCGACACAGGATATGAAAAGCGTCCCGCGCCTTGCGGGAGCCGACAACTACGATATTATACTCACACAGCCAGTATTCCTTATCCTTGATGCCCTACAAGACGATCGGACCCCTTTATATATGACAGTCAAGGCTTGGCTTAACACAATGCTGGGGATTGATAGGTAGGTCTCAGTTCTGATAATTTGGAAACCACGGCTAATGAATACCAGGCTCTTTCTGTTATTCATTTCCAGGTTATCCGGCGTACCCTTCTTGCAGACCCTAACACAGAATGGCGAGAAACCCAATCAAGATTCATTGTCGTTCTCCGAGGACGCGGATCTGGATCTTTGTCTTTACTACCTCAGAACACTTTCAAATATATTGACGTGCGCTGGAGATATTTCATGGACCGTGCTGTCGTCCAAACATGTTTCCTTTCATGGTCAGCATATGCAAATCAGTTGTAAGTCACCCGTGTACACATGCGCAACTTGAGTCTGACTTGATGCAAGCTGGGGGTGAAGAAAATGAGATGACATTGCAAGAGTTCTTTGTTCGCGTATGCATGAGGTGCATAACGGCCAACGCCCCTGACAATGCTACTAAGGAGTTTGAAGATCGTGTCAACCAGCTGTATAGATACGCACTCAGCCTTCTGCATAAGTTTCTCATTAGTCCTTTTGCTGCCTCCCTATCAGCTCAGCGCCTTGAAAATGTACTTATCGACCGACTTGAGAAGTCTCTTCACAGCTCGGATGGATATGTGCAGGTTCTTTTGCTTGATGTTGTTTATGATACACTCAAGCTTAGAGATATCACCCCGGCTGACGTTCCAACTTCCCCTATATCTGAAAGACGACCATCCTCATTCGACCCAAGGGGAAGTCGACCATCACTTTCAGTGTCAGAAGCCCGGATAATCTCGCCACCGCCACCTCAACTTCTCCAGTGCCTGCAAGACGGTCTCAGCTCACCCAGTAGCCGCCCGGTTCTAGACAGCTGGGTTGCTTTCGTGTCCGAGTGCTTGCCGCTATACTCCGACTCTATCTTCCAGGTACTTATTCCCTTGGTTGAGACACTTTGTAGAGAAATCGGTAAAACCTTTGCCAACTTGCGGGAAACTTTCTCCTCCACTGCCCTATCTCCTGGTAGCGAGAAATCGTCACCTGAGTCTACCCTTATTTTCCTCCTCAATGGCCTTGAGCAAGTTCTGGCACGGGCACATCAGCAGCTCCTGAACGAGGAGGCTCGTACACAGGTGGTAAAGAGCCCGGATCAGCCCCAGTCTCTCTTCGGAAGCATGGTGTCAAACGTGTGGCAATCAGATACCCCCCAGTCTCGCAGTGCTACGGCAAATGACCGACTGACGGTCCATCTGGCGTTCCAGGATGCTGTCCGCATCTGTTTCAAGATTTGGACATGGGGTCAAGGCAATGACTCAAGCAAGCAAGATCAAGGCTCCTTTGGGTCATTCAACTATACATCCTTGCGCATGCGTAATCGTGCTAGGAGATTACTTGAACATCTCTTCGCTGCAGAGAATCTCCAATGCCTGGAGACGGTCATTGCTCTATGGAAACAATCAATTGATGGTGCTGAGTCAACCCAGGTCTTCAATATGCTTTCTGCGTTAGAGGCATGCCGGCCCAAGCACTGCATACCTGCCTTGTTCAATGCCATCTACCGGAGGACTGGTGCCGGTGCCGGTGCCGTAGACACTGCATCCAAGTCCACAATGACAATATCCCTGCAAGACACTGATCTTGTCTGGTTTCTTGTGGAGTACACAAGGACCTTGGATGATGATGCTATGGACGAAATATGGCAGGATTGCATGGCGTTCCTCAAAGACCTTCTCACGAACCCATTCCCACATAGACAAACACTGCCAAACCTCCTGGGATTTGCGGCTCTTTTAGGCGAGAAAGTTGACAACACCAACTTTGGAGAACAAAGGAGGATGAGAAAGGAACTAGGGGTATGTTATGTCCTCATTTATAACATGCTTGTTTGCTAACATCGTTACAGGACACCTTTATCCGTCTCCTTGCTGCTCTTTTCACTACAAGACCTGTGGCGTTCACAGACTCAACAACATCGGGCGGTGGTATTCCTAAGTCCGACTCTGGGAACTCCCTGAACGGAGCCAGCGGAGGGCCAGATGACATCATCTCTATATTGGCCTCTATCGTTCCAAAGCTGACAAAAGTATTGGTTGAGCCTGATAGAGTCCTCTCTGCTACGGCCACTATCTCTACTAATGTTATTGGACCAACCTTGAGGGCCAAAGGATTCCCTGACATAGTATCGAAGAACACGATGTGTCTTCTGCACGAATTATCACGAGTCCATAATAACCAGAAGAATTGGAAGAAGGATGTGGGTGATGCTTTTAACGACTCCAAGTTCTTTGGTATGGATCTTGATTTGGCCAAGGAAGACTGGCTGCCATTGTTAAGACAATGGACTCTTACGGACAAGGAGAAGATGCCAGAGATCGTGGGTCGTATCAATGCCCCTTCGACAGCCGGCATTGTTTTTGGCGTTGGAGCAACTTCAGCTCGCCTCGAAGCTGATCGCAAGACGCAACTCAACCTCCGGAGAATTGCCACATTGATTATCGCGGGCTCTGAAGACGCATTCGTTTCGGATCTGTCAGAGATATTTAGTAGACTGGCTGAGCTTCTGGGCGCCTCGTCAACATCCTCGCCATCATCAACTACAAGAGCGGATATCTACATGGTATTCCGTGCACTGGCATTGAGAACTAGTGCTATCCATCTAGGCATGTTATGGCCCGTTGTCAACGCTGAGATTCATGCAGCAATATCTTCTGTAGCTGCACCCGACAACAGCACTGCTTCTGACACTTACACCAACGCCGCAGTTTTGCAGGCTTGCAAACTTTTAGATCTTTTGATCTGTGTGGCACCGGATGATTTCCAGCTTCATGAATGGCTCTTCATCACTGACACCATCGATGCCGTGTATCGGCCATCCACCTATCAACCTGTAGCCCTCGTTGACGAGCTGTCTGACGAGCTCGGGGCTTCCGTCAATAGCTCTGGCTTCCAATCCTCTTCCGTTGTCAACCCAGTGGCACGTGGCTCATCTCGACGACCCCTTCTCGGACCAGGGGGCATTAATGATGATGTCAGCCTTGATAGAAAGGATGAACTGGTGGCCAAGGTACTCCGGCCCTTCTTTGGACAGCTTAGCATCTTTGCCTTTGAGTCTACTTACGCAATGGGCCGAGTTGATCGAGATGCCTGCATCTCAAGCTTATTGAAGGATATTTTTGATGAGAGGAGTATAGTTAGGGCATTGTAGAGATGATAACTCATGTACAACAGGGGGGAGATGAATTTCATAGAGTGGATATTCTCTAGCGACCTATCTGGTGAAAAAAAAAAAAAGAACGAGATCCGAAAAGAGAGTTAAACTGTCCTAAGCATATGCATGTACGTTCAAACCCTGTTAAGCCTTGACTGCTGTGCAAAGTGATATCTCGTGAAACCAAACCCGAGATATTCTAGACCCATACGAGACATCTCGATAATTCGCCTTGGGGTGATCGGCTGAACGGAGATGAAACCGTTTGAGAAGGGAGAGAAGAAGAAAACGAAAACCCCGGACCCGACACGAAAATTTCAGCTCCTGGCTACAAAACACCTTAGCTCTGAGCATATCCCACAAAGCCTGGTTGGTTCGTGAGAAGGCTGGCCTGAAAATTCCTCATGCGAGAAATATCGCAAACACTGCTCAGTTGTGGATCGATAATCGCGGCAGCGGCCATGGCTTCTTCAAGAGTGCCCCCGTACACCCTCGCAACAACACTCTCAAAAGCATCTTTCTCCATAACAGCCCCGAACTCCAGACACTTCGATACGCCAACAAGTTCCGTGCCTAGTAAGTCTAGCCTTTCCAGCAGAAGACTCTTGTCAAAGCGTGACGCTAGCTCGAACCAGGCTTGTACAGGAGTGATCTCCAAGTCGCCGGGGTTGAGACTCTGTGCTAGGCCATAGAGGGAGGATAATGATATTCGGGGAGATGGCCACTCCAGGTGAACGGAAGGTACGTAAGGATCCAGGCCGAGAGAGCGACGATTGTGGCAAGATGATGCTGAAGAGACTAGCTTGCGGTCACCAAATACATCCAAAGGTGCGTTGGCCATGCAGAGTGAAGACGCCATGAGGCAGTGGCCTTTGGGTTCGTCGTTGGAGAGGTGAGAGTGAGATGGAAAGTCACCAACGAAGAAGTGATCCCAACAGATATGTTCAAGTCTGTGAAATGTCAGCGAGGCCATCGCAACATTCATGATGCAGTGTGAGCTTCAGGGTGGACTTACGAGAGGATGAAGTTGACAGCCTTTTGCTCCTCATCAGGAGTCAGGTTGAGATCCGGTAATGGCGGTGGCGAACTCGTAGAGTTGCTGCTTGATTCGTTTGATCGGATACTGAAAGCTGGCGTCTCCATCGATTCATCCTTCTTGAGAGTGACAATAATGTCGTCAACGTTGATATCGGCAAATATCTCTCCACCGTCTTGATCGTATTCTTGAAAAGTAGGATCCCCGGTCCGCAACTTAACGCCCAGCGTGTCGTCGATCCAAGCATCATTGTCGCCAGCAACCACCTCCTTGGTAAGACGGTGACGTATAGAGCAGGTACTAGACTTGCATCTTGGGATGGTGATGCCTTTATTTGTTAATAGATCTTTGATAGAGTCATTGTCCTTTTTGAGTTGTTCAGACTCAAATTCCGTCAAGGCGATAAGTTCACGGAAGTGAGTGATGTCGAGCTCGAGTTGTTTCTGATATTCTGCTTTGCGTTGACGATGCTGGATCTGAGCCCGTCGAACCTGGGTCCGGCGCAGCTTTGCTTTCTCAGTTGCAGTGAGAGACTTGCGAGATTTCTGGGGTGAAGTTTCACTACTGTTTTCGGGTGCTGGGGGGGGGTGTTAGTGGTGTCTGGGTGATATAGATGTCTTGCACGACTGTCTGAGAATTTAGGTCGAAGAGTGTCCAGTCACTGAACCGGACCATTACGGAATCGAGCGGACGAAAGAGATCGACTGAAATCACACAAGAAGATGACGAGGGCACGCTCTATACTTACACTCGCTGCTCATCCCAACGCTGCCTCTACTCTTCCTCCCCCTCCGCTGAGGCGTGGGACAGTCAGGGCCTTCACATGGCGTTCCAGCGACCTTTTGCTTGGTCTTTTTGAGGAACTCGGTAAAAGAAGGTCTCTCGTCTGATGTAGCTGTAGCTGTATTTGCCATGACGTGATTAGATGTCAATTTGTTGCTGGAGGGCTTTTGTATGTTAAGTTCGAGAATGAGCCCACTTTAATGACTGAGTCTCAAAGTTTGAGTGGGTTTCCAAGTGTTACGTTGGGTTAAGTAAGCGCGGGCGGATTAAATCTCGAAGCGGAATATGCCCCGTGCGAGTTCGGTAGATGGAATGGAAGGAGGATGGAAGGAGGAAGACAAGACAAGACAAGCTAGGGGAGGAAAGAAAATATAGAACCTCGATCCTAAATGATAAAAAGACTTAGGTAATATAGTCTAAGCTTAGGATGACTTTTGATGAGTTTATTTTGGCACCCTATAATAAGACTTGCTGTTTTCTTGGCCTCCGAGGAACAAGGCAAGGATAGGAACTAAAAATAGCCTGACATAAAACCGCCGTCAGAGGAGAAGAGAAGTCGTGATTCTTATAAGGAGAAGTGAGAGGAGAGAAAGAGAGAAAGAGAAGAGAATATACTAGTCAGAAAAGCAGACATGTCCTCGAGTCACGAGCTGAATCGGAGCTTTTCTGCCTATTCCGAGAGGCCTTTCGGCTCCAAGTTCCCCCATTCATTCGAGCTCCATGTCAGAGGACTTACACAGTAGATATCAATAAGACCTTTCATCAAGGCAAGGAAATAAACTGACCAGAGAACAAGCCAAATTCATTATGGATTGCCCTGAGCTATCCCTACTAATTACCTTATCTTTGCCTTTTCGTCTTCTTAGACTCCGGACTGAGGTTTCTTTCTACTGCCCCTAAATCTAGGTCATGTACGGAGCACTCTTGACTGAGAAATGAAAGGCCCCTTTGTAAGCTCGCTGACGGTTTCTCCTACGTCACAGATGCTCATCTTTCCGCGGAGATGGTATTAATAGTCATGCGCAATGATTACAAACGCAAGTGAATGGTGACACAAAACTCTAAAGGGATATATCTTGGGTTGTAAACTTCTCTTTTCCTGCTCACTGTCTAGAAGAGTGTATGCGCATTCCATAACTCGCTCTCATCTCATGGTAACTTTCGAGATTGTTTCACATCCGAACCACCCTCGGGTATAGAACCAAAGCCTTTGTAAATCAAACAAATCCTCCCCAACGCCTTGCTGTGTTTTGTAAACCACAAATCGCAAACCATGCTTCCGTCGTAAATGACTATGCCACGTCTCTATTCATAATCTTCACCATCGCTATCCGTCGCTGTGCCCTCCTCAATCTCGTCCTCATCAAGGTCGTCATCAATATCATCTTCGCTGTCGTCCTCGTCCTCGGCGTTTAGCCCTTGCACCGCCTTCCAATGCACGTAGTCGTTCTCGAGCCACCTTTTACTAACTGGCAGCTGATAAGGGTCGAATGGGAAATAGGGGTCTAACTGATGGAAGCTCTCATCTTGCGTCTCATAACCAGCATCTCGAAGGGCTCCTCCTGTCGAGTAGGTGGCCGTGAGATATTGCGTCAAGCGAACGCGTTTGTTGCTCTCCACCAGCGGATAGACGTACATAAAATTGAGACGATGCGAGATCTTGGCGAATTCCTCGACGATTACGGGCGCGCAGACCTTGAGGGGGTTGAGTTTGCTAAAGATCTGCACGGAAAGATCTTTTCTGCATGTTCCCATCCACTCCATCTCCTGACCAATGTATGAAGCCGGATCCTCGGGGTCCACGAACTCCGGAGTCGATACGATCAAGTCCTGCCAGCGGAAGCAGAATATGTAGAGTGTGGCCTGAACGAGGCTATAGTATGGCGTGAATCGCATCAGGTCTGGGCCCCGACATAAGGGTTCGTATTTCTTGCGGTACTGGTCCAAGTGATGTAAAAGAAGCCCAAAGATACTTCGGATCAGGCCGCTTGGTAGATGAGCGCCACGAGCCACGAAACTGGCGAGATATGCTGCGGCAGATTGCTTCAGGACGTTGGGCGTGTTTCCCTGGAACGCAGTGGCAATGAGCTGGCCGCAGAATGCGTCTGTGAGGCGCTCATGCATCTGAGCAAAATGAAAAATGAGGAACTGCGTGTGTCGAGACTTGTATGTGGGCAGCACCAGCTGTTCAAACTCGCGCAATAGGACAGTAAACATGTCGAACGCGGTGTCCGACCCAGGGTTGGTAAAATGAGGAGTGTAGACGCTGAACAGTGTATCCATCATGGCATCCATCTTTTCAACGCTTCCCTTGATCGACCTGATTCTGGCGACATTCTCGTCGAAATCGGGGTCGTCACTATGGACCGATTCCGCATCGCTCTCGTCGTCGGAATCGTCGTCATTCTCCCACGCATCTCCTTCTGAATGTTCGCGTAGCGCGTACATGACGGCAGCAGTTACATCATCGTCCAGATCTTCCAGATCGGTTTGCATCTGAGAGTCGATCTGGACAACTCGTTTCAGGATAATATCAAAAACTTCGTCACGCGAGTCGGGCACATAGTCCTTGATACGAAGAAGGTTGTCGACATACGCCATGTGAACACGCATGGACTCGTTGTGAAAAGGCAACTTGCTCACGAGGAGTTCCTCGAGCACTGAAATTGCGGAAGGAAACATCTGAAGCAAGTACTGTAGGGTGCTGTGCAGTCGATTGCGCATGGTCTCGCGGCTGACCTCAGGGAAATCTGGGACACTCCATACTGAAGGTCGACTGTCGCAGAATTTCCCCACCATCATCATCAGAACTGGTGACAGGTACGAACCCTGGGCGCTGACCAAGGCCGCCAGGAAATGAGTAAACACTTTCACGAAGGCATCGTCTCGTCCCAGCCAGGAGCAATTCAGAACAGTATGGACGAGACCATTACAGACTCTGTTTTTGAGAATGGGAATACATCCAGTAAGAGCCACCACGTAAACCTGGAGTTCGTGGGGCTTCAGGGTATCATCTTCCTCTCCAACGACGGGTGGTAGGTACCGCTGCTTGTCGCTAGCGAAGAGTTCCTTCAATGTGTCGTATTGGCTGTCGTTTCCTCTCAGGTGCTCTTCAAGGGCAGTCCTGACTTCGAGCTTCACCTCATCCATGGTCCGTCGTCCGACTTCGTACGTCACGTTTCGGGTTTCGTCTATCAAGATTTTGCGGCGTTTCGTGGGGCTCTCGGGTGCGTCGACGGGGTCGCTCAGTCCAGCATACTCGGCCTTTCTCCTCCCCAAGATAGATGCAGGTTTGAGGATGGAGCGGACAGGCGTGGAGCTCCTTGGGGCTGGACCAGAGAAATTCCTGGTCGTAGGTGTAAAGGGTCTCATTGATTTAGGCCCTTAGTGAATGTTTGAAGATGTCTCGTTTCGTGGTGCGCTGTCGCTCGATGGAGGGGAGTATGGCTAACTCGAAGTGAGAGTGGCGTCTCTCAGGCAACAACAGAGAGAGGGGGGTGCTTCGGGTGGGCAATCAAGGTATGATCATGGACTGAAGAGTATGCAGAAACTTTGACCGTAAAGAGTCAGTAGTCATAATAAGCATATCTCAATAGCACGAGTGCCGGAAGATGGAGAGCTCGGTTTTCTTTTCCTGCCTTGTGGGTAGAAGCGATGATGAAGAAATCTCGGAGGGTCGATTGTTAAGCGCTGGTGGCCATTGGAACTTTTTTTTCCAATTTCTCTCTCTGTCGAGTAACTACCCAATTTTTCGACGATTTTTGGTGGGGACCACACGTGCCTCTGATGCTTTTCCGTATTGGGAAAGGTGGTGTATCTTCTCCGTCACTCTACCTTTGTTTTAGTGATTGCGTCACATTTGATATTGAAGTCAACCTCAGTTCATTCATTGCAACTTGTTCTTATTTCATGTGTCGACTTCCCATTGAGATTGGTTATTGACCTTTCAATCACTGCGAGAAACTCCAAGTTTCGCTCGTGATCACAACTTCATAAATACATGATTCTTTCTCTACCTACTAGGTAGTTATGAGAAAACGCCATAGAGGGGACTGCCGTCTTGCCTTCAAAGCTCATGTCATCACCTTACTCTCAAAACATTAATAAGAGGTTTAGTCTCAAAACACTTGGAGGAATTCTGAAATAAACAGACTGTGGGTGTTATTTATCTAAATACTACTGGCTCAAAACTCCTTGCCTCTGGACTCAATGCATATCCGTTAAGTCTGCTTCTCAAAGGCCCCCTTTCTGTCTGTCGTGATTATTAACACTGATCATTTTGGGACTGCTCCCACGCTTGCAGGTAAGAACCAGACGCAAATCGCACCTCTATCTCTGAACACAAACCTAGTAGTGTTTCCCATATCATATATGCTCCCTGCGCTTCCCTACAATACCGTCCTCAACGCCACCTCATACCATGTGAGTCTGCCGTAGTGCCTCAAGTTCACGTACATATCCTGGAGGAAAGCTTCTTGTGAACAAAGATACACTTGCGTTACAGTGCAGCATTTGAGATGATTGGATTGCTGTCGATACCGTTCACGGAGCTAATACTCGCAACCGATATAATGAGCCTGTGCTGTTCAAGTGGTACATGCTGCCGCTGGTCAGAAGAACCATTCGAGTGGACGTTGGACGATCGCTGTTGGGACCAGGTAGTGGGTTGTTGGGGCCATGCTTCGTCGTCCACTCCTCACTGCAGGCAGCGTTTTAGTAGCCCTCGCCAGCGTTGCCATTGTGGCCAGGTTGCGAGGCATAAATGTAGTTGGGATCACCCCCAGCCTCGACGCCGTTTCCGTCCTGTCCAAATTCGCCCACGGCACTAGGCTCTGTTTTGGCATCATTCATCCATTGTTGGTTATCGATGCCCACTCGATCGCGGTTCGACTGATTCTGTTGCTGTTGGTGATTCGCGTTAGCAACTGAATGACAGAAGTATCCTCAAACACTTCTTTTGCTACTCGGTATAGGCTCCTTCAGCGACGAAGCTTGCAAGGAGCATATCTTCAAGTCATTCACTCAATAGATCCAGGGTTCCTGTTGGTAGAGTATTGGACTTGCCTCTCTGTACTTGCTGAGGTAAACTTTCAGCGCTTCCGCGTAGTTCTCGAAACCGAGAGATGTCATGGCGAAAAGAATGTCTTCACCATTTACGGTCTTGCGTTTCTCTTGCTGGCATTTCTCCGACGCTGTGCAAGTCAGCATGCTGCAGATCCAAGACATGACTCGGATTTTCAAGTGCAAGTCTCAGTAAGGCTGTGAATCCAGAACTCACCCTCGCTTGTGATGAAAGAGATAAATTCACTAACACACTCTTGCATACACTCCTTGGCCTCTTTCGCGATCTTTGCGTTCTCAGGTAGTGCATTTTTCATGATACGAGCAACTGGAGCAAAGTTTCGAATGTTAGCATCAAGCTCATCAGCCCTGTCGGCCTTGGAGGCGCGAGGCGCCTTGGGTGATTTGGAGGACGAATCGCAAGACATGAGAGGGATCCAGATATGCACGGCTGGGCGGGCTGAGGCGTCAAACAGCTCGCGCAGAAAGGGACGAACAAATCATATCAGGATGCCTCTGTAGATAGATAACGTACCATTGGCTATTGGCAACCATCGATCTTGTTCCTTTACACCCTCATACTCGTAGCCCGCTGAGTTTGCGGCTTGTGGGTCTTGTTGCTCGTTCATTTGTGCTTCGTCGTCGGGTGACGGTGCACCATGGTCAACCTCCTTGGGAGCAGCGGATTGGGGGGAATCCGACATATTTGGCTACCTGCAGCGGCTGCTAGCGTCCTTTGTCAAAGGGGATTTCGGGCTCGCACAGCTGGACCTTGCGATGATGTGTTCCCTGGCCACGTCGCAGATGGTAGGGCTTGCAAGCGTCAGGGTGTGCGAGAGAGGAGGAGGGGTCTTGGTTCTGCCGTGCGTGCTGGGCAAAGTCAATCAAAGAGTACCGTACCGATGAGGGTTCCTCTTCACTAATGCAGGTGGTCCCTGGCCCGGGATCTTGGGGCTATGACGCTGTCCACTTGGGAATACTGGGGGTGTGTGCTTCTGAGGGAAGGAGTGGTTGATGTGGATGTCTATTGTCGAGACAAGGTGAGGTGAGGTAAGGGTAAGGTAACCAAGATACAGGACACGGAGCGGAGCAGGCACCGGAGGGGGGTGGGCCTCCTCCGGTGTAAAAGCCAAGTGAAGTGATGAAGGCGGGGGGACCATGACTTCGAGATCCGTCCGGTAGAGAATTAAGGGCATGCATGGTATGGGAGGAGGACAGGAAGGGGCTTTGATTCAATCAAAGACATATTGGTACGTACAGTCTAGGAAATACAGATCAACCTCAGGTAGACAAGTCGCGCGAGCTTCGAGCTGTTCTGTAACAGGCCCAAGCCGGCTGATAGATACAAATCAAGAGCAAAAGCCGACGCGCGCAAGACAAAGCTGTAGCACACGCGTTGGAAGCTCAAAGGATACGCGCAGGACGGCAGGACGCAGGTCAACAGCGATGGCGATGGCGATACACCTCAGTAGGTATCTGGTGATGTCGGCCGGGAGCGTCTCAGAATCGACGGGACGGAGCGGCGCAGATTCGGGTCGCGATTTAGCTGGAGACCAACGGCGAATTGCACGGGAGTGCGAAGGTTCTACCGGGTACGGAGCTTGAAGAATGTGTTACACGAGGGTAGCAAGCGTCTCGTTCGCCAATTTCAGCTCCAATATGCCGCGGGGGTTCTACCAAATCGCGTCAGATCCAGAGTCAGAGGGAACAATCAATAATAGCTTGGGAGGCCAAAGAGGACCAGGACAGGCCGGGGCTGGGGCGTGTAGATTCGATGACTGATTGATGATGGAACGCGATGGGGTTCGCCAGCAGGGGAAAGCAAAGAGCTCAGTGGCGATGGAGGCGAGGCTAGAGTGAGTGAGAGTGCGAGGAGCAGCGAGCGAGAGGGTGTCTGAGTTGTTCGCTTGTGGTCGCAGTTGAGGTGCATATGTGGAGTGCAGCAGCGGGCGTGGGGTTCTTTTCTGGCAAAAGAGACTTACAATTGATTGATTGCAGCTGCTGTTAAGCAAGCCAGATGATTAAGATGGTGAGTAGCGGATATGCGGTCAAGACGCGATCCAATTAGTCAAAGTTGCGTTGATCAATTCGGGCAAGGTGAAGAAACTTGGTCAGCTTTTGGTGGTGGTGGATGGAAGTGCAAGTGCAAGTGAGGTTGACTAGGAGAGATGTTTCGTTTCCCTGGCACGCCAACAAACCCGAGGCCAAGGCTGAAAGCCTAAAGCGTGCCTGGCCCCAGCAACCTTCGTACCTAGGTATGTACACACTAACTTAACCCGCACTGTTAACTTTTAGTTAGACCCTGGCGCCATTGCTGAGGTACCTAGGAGCGTACGTAAGGTAGGTAGTTAGTTGCTCTAATACTCTGGAGTGCTTCCATATTAACGTTAGATGTTATCGACGACGAGCTTGGGCCCTACCTATCCCTTTTTGATGAGCTGGTTGGCTGTCAGCGTAGGGCCAAAGCAGCACATTGAAGTTTATTAGCCGTGTAAACCCTCACAAGCAACACCAAAGCTTACAGGCACAGTGCTGAGGAGATGCTCAAATTCCTGTATAACTATTGCTCCTCTCGACACCGCTATATCAATCCGACTGACCCGGACAAGGAATACTCCCTCGATGGACCATCCATCTGCTCGCTTCCTTGATTCCTTCAGCCGCTAGAGCCAAAAGCCCTGGGCTTGTCTAGGAAAGCAGGTAGGCAAGTTGCTGCAAACACTCCCACGGGTACACAGGAGCATGGCCCCAGGCGGTGTGTCGCAAACTCTTTTTCACCTACCTTGGCTTTGGGGGACCATCGTACGAAGAAGAACCCGTGTTTACAGTGATACCTACTGGCCTGTACTGGCCGAGGAAACGTGCGAGATGGGCCATTCTGGTGCTACACCCAATATCAGCTCTGCTATAGATGCGCTGCAGCGAGGCCTTCTACTGCAGCGCTGTTGGATCAGGATATGTCTCTCAACAAACACATCCATCTCTGCAAATGACCCCATCTCCAATGCCTCCTCAAAATGACATCCAGGCACTCACTCGCTATCAGGCACTTGACCGGTCATGATCAAGTCCACCTGGGCGGTAACGGAAGAGGGGGGCCACTCTGACTCCTTATTCGACAATGGCATTTGCATAAAGCTACATCAAAACTGTATCCACGCTTCCATCGCCAGGGTTCAGTTTGGGCTGAGCTGTAGGGGTAACTCGTTGTCGGCCTCATTTGTACTTCACAACCTGTAAGCTTCCGCATAGTATGCCTCAGATGCAAGCCAGCAACTTGGCCACGAGTTTTCAGCCCAGCTCAAAAATTACAGTCCAATAAATTGTTCAGCCTCCTTGTAAAACATGGCCAACGGCCTGGTCCAATACCTGCAAGGACCCGACAAACTGGAGTGTTGGTCATCCCAGTTACGGCTTGATTGTACCAATCAAAGAGGCCTTACCACCATATGCCATTGTTCCCTACAGTTGATTTGGGACTTTAGTTGATTCAAAGCTTATCAGGGCTTCTGAGACCCCAACAAACCTTCCAGTGCCTCGGGGAGCAAGAAAACAGCGAACCTTGATATACGAGGTCAAAATAAATTCATCAAAGGTTATCCTAATCTTAGGCTATATAACCTAAGTCTTTTTGTCATTTAGGATCAAGGGTCCTGTGTTTTCTTTCCTCCCCTGGCCAGTGTAAGCAATATGGAGTTCACGCCAAATGTTAAGGCTTTCTCATAACTGGAATCCAATGCATGCAACCTGGACAAGCCACAAACAGCTTTCAGAACATATATGGCAGTATCTGGTTAGGATAAACGACTGTGATAGCCTCATCAGAGTTCCTGCTGACCGTACCCGGGCACAGTCAAGGTCGGCAAGGTGCGTTAAGTGACGACTTGGCGGTATGACTACGAAAATTGATAGATCCTTTGTTGATCTACCGTACTGCGATGATGAGAGTTCCTGAAGATCTTCAAACTCAGCACATTGTGGTTTGACACAACGGTTTTCCAGCAACAAAGAAGCCTGTGAAGGCGTTATCGGCAAGCCACTAATAGCAGCCATTCTGCCCTTCAGGTCTGATTGGACTCGATCTCATCAAAGCCATTCCAGAGATCATATTTTCACGGAACAACAAGCTAAGCATTGGAACGACCGCTGTGCCGCAGGGCCTCCCACTAAGGGAGGGGACACAGGTGCAATATCAACCAGTCAGAAGTACATATCATGGCTTCTGCATGTCAACAAACGATCTGCTGCGCCAGAGGAATACACTAGCCCCCACAAGGTCATGGTGATGCTGCTGCTACTCTTGACAAGGTGGTGGAGAGCTATCGGAGTGAAGGCAGCATATGATGACTTGCAGTTCATGGCTAGGCTGCCCCATATCGATCAGACTCTTTTTAGATCTCGGTGAAGATCAGTCAGACATTTTGATTGACGTTGCATGCACACGGGAAATGCTAGCTGTCCATCGTACTATCTTTGTCGTCCTCTGGCTTTCTCATTCTCATGCAGTTCGCCTTGATGCACACGTCTTCAGTTGAGGCATGAAATATGAGGTAACTCTCGCAAAAGTCATGAGTTTCAGACCGATTGAGTGTGCGGAAATTTCCTCATTTTTCTCCTCAAAAGAAAGGTATCACCATCATCAGCAGTGTGGTCTGACACGAAGGTACATATGGCCAGTTAATGCAACCGGTGGGCAAGCCTCGTCAATCGGGGTGTTTCTGTCCATACAAACACATGCCCGCTGTCTAGGTCTTGCGTCGCATTGCATTACATTGTCTGTTTGACGTCCTGCATGTCAAAACTCTGATGCTTCTGGGGCCTCAACGCGGTTGGGCATGCAGACGCTTTTGCCGCCATAACCCCACAGTGCGCAGCAAGTGTACAACGCATCAACACCATCTTTCCATTTCTTCCGTCGTGTTGCTCGTTCAGCCTGAAAGGCAGACATTTGGAAGGCAAGCAGACCACGGAAGTCCGTCTTATCCACATACAAATGAGGCTGGAGCAGAAACATCGGGGGGTCCGATGGAGTTGCATTCGTAGAGAGAAGGGATACGAGGAGTGATTGCGTTGTTGTATGAGGCTGTGTTCAAAAACGGCACTTCTAATAAATCGCAAACATGCTGTTCTCTGGTAATTCTCAAAAATAAAGCCTCTGTGGCACTGATGCAAACGTTTTGTTTTATTCTGTTATTGTAGTCTCATTATTGCTGTACAACCTGCACATTGTTCTTCTTCTGTAAGAATCATTAGTATCGGCTGTACTCTTACATCAAGGGCTAGATATTTTTCTCTTACCTTCCACTTCTCAAGATCATCCTGCTTCGTCTTGTATTGCTTCACCAAATCATCCAGCACCTTGCGAAGCCCTTCTTGGTTTGTCTTGAGGGCTGGTACCACATCCTTGACCGTCCTCTCGACAAGCACACCATTGATGAGACGGAAACACTTTCTGTCTTCTGAGAGGGGCTCTAGTGTCTCCAAAACAAGTCTGGTGAAGGCCATATCAGAATCAGTAGTTCAACATGCGGTAACACTAAGTTGTGGGAGGAGGGAGTTTGGGGCAAGCTGACACCATGCTCAAGCTGTTTCAATGACGGCGAAGACAATAGTGAAGAATGAGCCACTTACTTGTGCTCCTCGGCTTCTTGCTCAATATCACCAATTCTCTGGGCTATTTGCTGAAGAGTGTTTTTGTAGTTGGAGTAGGTAACTTGAAGATCTAGACAGCGTGAGTAAGAGGCGGCGTCATGAGGTGTATCAGAGGGGGGGTTGTGCTGACCTTGCTGCTTCTTAGCAGGTACCTGAGCCGCTGAAGACATCTTTTTTTTTAAGGAAGCAAAGTGTTCCGATATACTGCTAATCTCTGTTGGTTGTGTATCAATGGATCTTCTCTTGTGTGGAAATACCTTACTTGTAGAAGCCAAACGCAAATACAACAATGCCCCTCCAAATCCCATGGAGCCTCCCGTCTGGTCCGTGCACCCGGACCCAATATTCAATCTCAGCTGGAGCATGTGGCGATCACTGTATTTCTTTCAGGGTCCTCCAACTCTGTCCAGTACCTACCTTATATCGACATCATCATGCATCCTCATCTTCACACAAAGAACGCTCTGGGTAAGTCCTTAGAGCGCTTTATTGCCACCGCACGCTGACCCCCAGTCACAGCGTGTGAAGAGGTCATCGCTGCTCTCGAACAGTGCCATAGCCAAGGCTTCATGCACAAGGCTGTTGGGAGCTGCAATGACGCCAAAGAGAAGGTCAACGAATGCTTAAAGATCGAACGATCGAAGATGCAGGCCGAGAATCGAAACGCTGCCCGGGCGAAGCGCGACAAAATCCGGGAGCAGCAGCGGGAATTGGGACTGTAATATAGAAACGTCTCACGATACGATGCCAATAACCCGAACTCGACACGAAGCGAATCCAATGACGATGGGCTGTATTCGACCTGTATACTAGAAACATTTTGGCTGGCGTTCTGGGCGATAAATTTATGACAAGGAGGCATGGAGGCTGTGACAGTATAAGTATTAATTATCGTACGACCCTGCTTTAGTTACTAGTTTGCTCTTAGTCGCCATGAGGTGCATGTTCCTATATCACGATCACTTCTGAAGTAGAGTTTGGGAGTTCTTCTAAAGTGACTGAGCTACTGGCCTCTGTCGATGTCTCTATAACGTCTATAGCAGTTTTGGTGGTAGTGCCTGTGTTAATGGTTGTAGTAGTGTCTGTGCCTGTCCCTGAAGTAGTGGATGTTGTTTCCTTGGCAGTCGAAGTAGTTGTCTTCTTAAGGGTGGTTACAGTGGTCGTCTCTTTTCTAGTTGTTGCTATACTAGTATCTTCAGCAGTACTGGTTGCCTCCTGAGAGGTTGTTGTTGATTCATCCTGAGCAGTTGATGTAGAGGGCTCTTCAGAGGTAGTTGTTGTCTCGTCTGCAACTGTCGTCGCTGTAGGCTTCTCGGTAGTGATGGTGGTTTCTTTTGCTGCTACACCGATTTCAATCGTTCCGGACACAGTTCCCGGAGCAGTGATGGTAGAGGTGTAGGGAGTATCGCCTGCTGCCAATGTAGTTGTGGTTGTGACGTAGGCAAGTCGGAAAGCTTCGTTGCAGTCAACGCAGGCTTCAGCTTTAATCATCAGAGCAGAGTCGAATACGGCGTCTGAAGCATCACAGATTGCGACGACCACTGTCTGCGGGCCTCCGGGAAGTAATGATCATCTTTAGATTACCTGCTATCAATCGATCCACGCGGTTGCCTCTAGTAGCCTGCAGCTAATGCAAGTCTTCTGCTGCTTTCTTCTGTCTCATTATTGTAGTGGTTAGAAAGACTACGAGCGATAGGACAACTAAGTTCAGATGAGCTCAAATCAACGTCTTCTGCAGTCTACATATGTTAGAGTGACATGCCAAAGATCCCCTTACACTGCCATTTTTCAGGATATCATCCAGACTTAGTGAGTTCAATATTGACATTCCTTGGATGAAAGCTTGGTCGTGGGACAAGAGAAACCATAACATGACAAATAACGGTTGCGCCGCTATAGTCTACTTCGACAATGGACCTTCAGCCATACCTCAAACCAAACCTCAAAAATCTGGTTTTCTCTAAGTTGTAAGCCGAGTCGTAATAGAACATTCTGAAACTTGATAAAAGGTTTTCGTTCTTATTCGAATGCTCCCAACCTAAGAATAACATGTGTAATCGACGATGATAAGCGAGACGTTGGCCTCAGAGGAAATACTTCTAGTGTGAGACATTCATTAAGCATGTAACAAGCTTAGCCTCAAACCCATGATTCTCCCTGAAACTTGGCGGGTCATTGTTAAAGAGTCAGAACATCGGTATTGATCAAATGAGACAGCTCACAACACACGACTCATGGCGGTCGATGACTGGGAATGCCGTAAGTAGAAGGCATGAGAGAAGAATTTGATGCCTCGTAAGATTCTACTTTCACGCGTTTTGAAGCTGTTGATTACTATCGTCTTACCATAAAAGAGGCGGACCTGAGCGCCACCAGAATTCTGTGATGATCTCTTGATTATACACCATATCGGTATAACTTCATTTGAAGCTCTTTCTCATATCGTATGTCAATTGAGGGAAGTGATCCGGGCGGGTCCTGGTGTTAAGCATATCACACCACTATGTCGATGTCTCACACTGAGTCGGAACAGTTCCAGATAGCCAGTCCATGGATCCAGAACAAGTGATTATATTGCATCGTACCATTGTTTCGACTAAGCCATGATCATCTGACAGCTGTCTCAGGCCCTCCTTCGAAGAGCAGAACCGTAGGTGAAGAGGCCAAATGCTGAAATGACGCTGAGAAGAATTGGAACCGGTTTTCTTAGACGTAGGGCTCGGGGGAAAGCAGATCCCCCAAGAACCGCGGAGGCTAAAAGACCAAGCTCGACTCCATAAGGCTGCTCATTCTGAATGCGATAGCCACCAAGAGCATCTACAAGGGAGCTGTCAACACGTTTCCATGCTAAGGGGAAGGCAAGGGAGATAATATCGGGGCTTACATAAGAATCCAACAGCACAGCCAGCAACAATCGAAGGAACAGATCGTGTGCGCGCGTATCCCATGATACCCCCTCCTGCAGTCAGAGCACCGAGGATGTAGGCGGGAAGCTCAAGATCGTGGTAATTGACGGTGGCCTAAACTTGTTAGCCAACGAGCTGATCAATGTTGTTATAGGGCTCATTACTCGCCATTGTATTTTTTATCCTTACGGTCTGGTCTTTCAATGTAATTCTGTAGATTTTGAAGATGAAAACAACTTTGTTCTTTTATGTCCAAGATGAGGCTGCGGAGCTCTCGGCCATTGACGACATATTCGAGGTACGTACCTCACAGTTCGTGGTGAGGGTGGGTCTATACCCCCGGATTCTTGGCTTTTTGTAAGCCAATCATATCCCGTTCACCTTGGAGCTGTCGTGTCCAGAGGAAGCTCTCCTACGGATACTGCACTTCGAACTACCTTGAACTAACCAAATCCACCGACATCAACATCAAACGCTACAAATCAACCATCACGAAAGCCTCATAATATCGAAAGAAACACCCACACCAAACAATCAGTCCAACTCACCCAATAAACCCTCCCGAATTACAACAATGGCGGCTAAGAAGAACGTCCGCGATATCACCCCCTCGGCCGCTGCTACCACTCAGGCCAGCACCACCAGCGCTGGTTCCGTTCCTCCTCAGCCTCAGCCGAAGCCCGTCGCCATCGCCAAGAACGAAATCAAGGGCGAAGTTCAGTGGGACAAGGTAGTCCAGAACCTCTACAATCACTACGTCAACAACACTCCTCAGCGCATCAAGTTGGTTGATGCCTTTATGGTCTTCCTTGTTGTCGTTGGTGTTCTCCAATTCATCAACTGCGCCCTCGCTGGCACCTTCGTGCGTCTTTCTCCGTGGATATACAGTCTTTTATCGATTGCTAATGCTTCTTAGCCCTTCAACGCTTTCCTGTCCGGCTTCTGTGTGACAGTTGGGCAGTTCGTCTTGACTGGTATGTTACGACGATCGGCGACCTCGAAAGATTATGGCTAATGATACCCAGCTTCGCTACGACTTCAAACAAATGAGGCTGTCAAGAATGATTGCCCTTCAGTATCCCCCGAAAGGTTTGTCGAACTCGGGTTAATAAAGGAGACCCAACACTAAACTTCTCTAGAGCTTTCGCCGACTATATCGTCTGCAGCTTGATCCTGCACTTCTTCGCCATCAACTTCATTAACTAGACGGCTGGTTGAATATTGTGACCCTGGTGGGATAGGGACCTCTTCTCTTGAGGGCTACTACGTCGGACCCATCAGGCAGTGTACGATAAAAGACGGCAAATCACGAAATTCTTTAAAAGTTTGGCCAATAGATCGGGAAATAGAACAATCAGCAAGGGGAATCATTTACATGTGCTATCTCGCCATACTCTCATTCTGCTTCACCACCACCGGCCTGAACCTCTGGCTTTGGTGAGTCCCTTGGAGGACCGCCTTTGGGTGGGGGAGGGGCTGGTGAGTTCCTAGCCGAAGGTGCATTGTCCACAGCCCGACTCTTCTCTTCCTCCTCTTTAAAGTAGTCATCCATCAGCCTGTTAGGGTTGTGGCCATGGCGTTCCTTCTTCTTGCCAGCTCCCCTCGGCGGTGCACTCACCGGAGCATCACTTATCATCTGTGCAGGCACCAAAAAGTCTCCTGCGGGAGGGGCGGGCTCCGAGCCACCTATAGCAGGAGTAAATGCGTCCTCACTCTTCTCATTGGTGGCGCCGTCGAACATCGTCTCGCCAGGGGCATCAACGGGCTCGCTCAGAGGAGGAGGTAGCCTGTGAAGGGCTCCGTATCCAAGCACGCAACCCAGCGCTCCTTGGCCGCCCCAATCCCTACTAGGCTGTATTGTGACTTCTCTGGTGACATTGTATTCGTTGTTGTAGACCCAGATTCGCATCGGCCGTCCAATAAAGTCCTCGACGAGCTCGCCCAGGCCACCCTCGCCATATAAAGCACCCTCAGGACTGCCGAGGATGTAGTCACTGTATGGCAGAAGACCGGCGGCGTCGGCGGGGGAGTTGGCGGGGACATCGAGAACATGCCAGATGTTTGCAGCAAGGGCCAGCGGAGCGTATTGGAGCGAAAGACCGAGGGATGCAGTATCTAACGCAACAGGAGCATGGATTTCTCTCGTTCTTTGGCCCTAATTGGTGTCAGTAGGAGAGTTCAGAAGGCACGAAGTTAATAGTTTACTTTTGCATTCCATAATCCCAGGGTAACTGTGCTGCCCGCGCAATTTCTCACTTCCTGGCTGAACAAGGCTGGTTCAGGGTCTTCCTAGACTAGTTGTTAGATATAAGGAGCTTAGAGTACCTAGAATGGGCCAACATACAATAGGTCTACCATTGATTCCAACAATGAAGTCGAACCAGGGCTCGATAGCAAGCTCCAGGTTGGTATTGCGCAGCACCTGGAAGCCGAAGGAGCCTCGCTCTTGTTGCCTCTGCTGCTGGACGTCTCCGTCCAGGCGCGAGATGAAGCGGTTTAGCGCATTAAACATTGCTTCAGTGACTTTTTCTCTAGACCCGTGTGTGTGTTTATGATTGCTGGGGATCAAAGGGGTTCATGTGTTAAGTAGGTAGGTACTGTATCAAATGGAAGTATGCCAAGGGCAGATCGAGCAATCGCAAGCTGTCACTATTACAGCAGCAGCCTTGCAGCGATGGCGTCTGTGCCAAGCCCACTAGTCTCTATGTGGGGCATACTGTGGGGAGCTCATCGTCAGCCTCGTGCTCAATTTCAACCTTTGAGCTTTCTGCGACTTGCTCATGGCAAGTCTATATTTCAGTTTTTGACAAAGAATGGCTGCTTGCTGTTAATGCAAAACTCACTCGTACTATACCTCCGATCAAGATATGAGTAGTTCAGGGGTAGAAATGTCGCTGGACGACTCCGAGTACTCTCTGAAGCCCGCTGAAGAGCTGCCTCTGACTGATGATTGTCACCACTATCAAGGAAAGCATGAAGTGCCATGGGATATTCAAAAGTGAGCAACTATTGACTAACTCACTTCTCTCGATCTTGCTAATATGTTCAGATACTTTGCGCAGCGTTATTCGATTTTCTCGTTATATGACTATGGAGTTTACATGACGGACGATGCTTGGTTTGGTGTGACGCCCGAGCCAGTAGCAAAGTGAGTATACAATACCTAAACTCTTCAAGGCTCTGCTAACTCTAATCTAGCCAGGTGGCTCATGATATGTACGGTACCGATCAAAAGAAGCATATCCTGATCGATGTCTTTGGTGGTGCAGGGGGTAACAGTATTGCCTTTGCTCTCTCTGAACGATGGAGTCGCGTTATCTCTATCGAACGCGACCCTTCAACTCTAGCCTGTGCCCAGAATAACGCCAAGGTCTATGGTATCGCGCCTGGGCTAATTACGTGGGTTCTCGGTGATAGCTTCGAATACCTCGACAAGTTATTCAATCACACAGAAGAACTGCACCCAAATTTAAGAGTAAGCCTTGACGAAACAGTACTGTTTGCAAGTCCACCTTGGGGCGGCCCTGGATACCGCACTGATGAAGTATTTAATCTTTACAACATGCAGCCGTACAATCTTGACGATTTACACATTGCATACGACAGGCTGGATCACGCCTTGTTTCTCCCACGGACGAGTGATATCCGACAAATCGCCAGACTAGCACCTCCTGATAGGAAAGTCGAGGTTGTTCAATACTGCATGGAGGGTGCCAGCAAGGCCCTGGTGGCTTACCTTCCAGGCAAATACTCAAAGGTCCGCCAGTGAAAGACGCCCTCTAAAATAGATCACTGTCGCCATTCGCATACCGATGAAAGAAGGCTGAACCTGAGGAAGGGTGCTGCTGAAAGTCTCGGGCATGTGGTTGACGAGATGATGCTGCTGTCGGGGGCAACGATATTTATCTATTTGATGCCGTACATTGCCTATTCAACGGCATAGTAATATAATTTGCAGCTCGGGCAGACATCAATAGCACGTTGGTGTGTCGTTCAAGCGGGTATCCTCCAGCTTATTCAAATTGCATAAGTGGTCGATGTACAGTAGACATGGTATCATTGGCACTGTACTGTGAATGGTTGGCTTTGACTTGATCAAAACCTGTAGGAACCCCATCCACACGCAGGAATTTTCGCATCGGAGCCCAAACTTGGCAACTTGTTCTACAGTGCCAAGTACTTTTCTTCATCATGGCCAAAGATAAAAAAAAAAACGCTGACGCCAAAAAGGCAAAAAAGGTGCCGTCATATTCTGTGCTACCACGTCTACCTATGTCCTTGCCCCTCCATGCATCATGACATGTTGAACGTTTAACTAATGATCAGAATTAGGCTGAGAAAGCCGCCAAGCAGGCCAATAAGGGTGAAAAGAAGGCCAAGAATAAGGCTGCTAAGGTCGAAGGAAGTGATGCCGAAGATGTTGATCTTGATGAGGTGCTCGAAGAGTACCGAAGACAACAGGAGCAGTTCCTCAAGATCACTGAGACGGTGATTGATGCACCTCCGAGAGCGAGAGCTGCTTCAACGTTGATGGCTTCACCTCATGATAGCAATACTTTACTACTTTTCGGTGGCGAATACTTCAATGGCTCTCTCGCTCAGTTCTTCAACGATCTAAATATCTACAACATTAACAGAGACGAGTGGCGATGTGTAACTTCACCCAACGCTCCGCTCCCACGATCTGGTCATGCCTGGACCAGAGCCGGAAATCCGAACCATGTCTATCTCTTTGGCGGGGAGTTCTCTTCGCCAAAACAGGGCACATTTCATCACTACTCAGATTTCTGGAGGCTGGAGCCTGCAACGAGGGAGTGGACGAAGATTGAGAGCAAAGGAAAGGACAAGAGCCCTTCAGCTCGAAGTGGTCATCGAATGACGTACTGGAAGCAGTACATTATCCTCTTTGGTGGTTTCCAAGACACTTCAAATCAGACAAAGTACCTTTCAGATCTCTGGATCTTTGATACCGTTAACTTTGTGTGGCACTCTCCTCAACTGCCTCCTGCCCAACTCAAGCCAGATGCTCGCTCATCTTTTACTCTGTTGCCCCATGAGCAAGGTGCGGTTCTCTACGGAGGTTACTCACGTGTTAAGGCGACTGTCAACGTCAAGCAAAAGGGCAACAAGGGACCTAGCCAGGCTCAGCGAAACGTTCTTATTCCCAAGGTTCATGAAGACTGCTTCTTCCTCAGAATCTCCCAGCCTGCCACAGACGCCAACCCCAATGCTCCCCCGGTTGTTCGCTGGGAAAAGCGAAAGAAGCCTGCCAATGCTCCCAACCCTACACGCGCTGGTGCGACAATGGCCTGGCACAAGGGCCGCGGTATTCTCTTTGGAGGAGTGCACGACGTTGAGGCTAGTGAGGAGGGGATGGATAGTGAGTTTTTCAACCAGCTTTTCGCTTGGAACATTGAACGAAATCGATTCATGCCTTTGGGTCTACGAAAGCCTCGTCAACAGAAGAAGGCTGCTACTGAGCCCCGAGGCGGGCGCCGTGGTCGGGCTCAAGCAAATGAAGACGAGCTTCTGAGACAGCTTGCTGCTTTGGAGACTGGAGCTTCTCTGGATGACGCTGATGATATCGAGCTTGCCAAGAAGGAAGAGGAAAGAGACGACGACAAGCCAACAAGAGAAATGCCAGTGACCATGGAACCCCCACATGTAAGGTTTAATGCTCAACTGGCGATTCAAGACGATGTCCTCTATATCTATGGCGGAACATTTGAGAAGGGAGACCGAGAGTTCACATTTGATGATCTCTATGCCATCGACCTTGGAAAACTAGATGGTTGTAAGGAGATCTTTAGTCGGCCCGTCGAAGACTGGATCGTAAGTGATTTGGAAATGACGTATGAAATTTTGTTAGCTGACTTGAGTTTCAGGAGTCTGATGACGAGGACGACGATGAGGATGAGGATGAGGACGAGGAAGAAGATGAGGACGAGGAAGAAGCGGGGCAGCAGCTCTACACACCCAGTAAGAGGAAGAAGAAGCATGATGAGGTTTCTGAGGCTTCGTCGGAGCCTTCATCGGAGCCTTCAACGCCCTCAGAAGAGGATGAGACTGAGACTGTAGCCACTTCTGTGGACGACGGACTACCCCATCCTAGAGTACGTATTTCCCATCCTCATTTCAATAATGAGGGGTTTTCTGACTAAACAACAGCCTTTCGAGAGTCGACGAGAGTTCTTCGTCCGGACATCAGCTGAGTGGCAGGAGATTTTGATGACGAGCCTCCGTTGGAAGAACATCCAGCCCGAGACACTAGCTATCAAGGAGATCAAAGCTAAGGCCTTTGAGCTCAGTGAGGAGAAGTGGTGGGATTGTCGTGAGGAAATTGTGGCTCTGGAAGAGGAACAGCAAGCTGCTGGTATTCAGGAGGTAGTAAGCTTAGCGGAGAGAGGAGATGCTGCATCTGGTGGTGGAGCGAGAAGGAGGTAGATAAAGTTGGTTGTGGCAGCTGTTGTTTATATAAATCAATATGGGACCCTCTTCTACACCCTCTTGGTGACCTCCTATTCTCATTTTATACGACCGCTCCGTTGTTCTTTACCCGCCTATCTACTTGTTTTGGGCTCGAACCCCCCTATATGCTGGGATTCATTGTCTCAAGATTCAGCATTACAACAGTTCACGAGCATGGGAAATGATTGCCTTGAGCATTTTCTGATAGTTTCTTAGTCATGTAGTCATCAACTACCAATTCTATTTCCGGAGTCAACCCCAACGCCACGCACGCCAATCCATGATCTCCTACAATCGCCTCACATCAGGAACGCTACAACGGCTCCTCCACAACGCCAGTGGGTGACCACCTCGCTTTCTTGCCACGCGTCCATATAACCAGAGCCGCAGCTCTCTCGACAAGTCAGTTGGGAGACGCGGCCATAGGCGGGTACGAAGCACCGCCGACCTCGACCTTGGGCTCGCACTCACAGCGCTCAGCCTCAGGGACGTTGTCGATAACGGACTGGATATGACTGCCGCAACCCCACCAGGAGGTCTTCTCTGTATGCATCTTAGTACCACACTCTTGGAATTAGATACAAGGACTTACTGCAGGTTCCGCAGGTGGCTTTTTTGCACATTTTCGGGGTAGTATTCTGACTTGATAGATATCGAGTGAGTTGTGAAAGAGGAGTCTGTCTATATCGGCTCGTCGGGGTCACAAGTGGAGAGGAGAGTAAGGAATGGGGATTGGAGATTGGAGGCTTTCCACTTCCAGCATCTCCGGACACGGCGATAACTAAGCCAGGGCCAATTATTTGTCACGGATATAGTGAGTGTTTTGTGAACCAATCGGCATTTGAATGGGTCAGGTCAGAATCATGAGATGCGCTTCATGAGAGAAACTCTTGGAATACTGAAGCCTCGGCTTGTGATGTCATGATCATTCAAGAATAAATTGATATAAAATCACATAACAATGAAAATATGCTGACAACTCCTGCTAATGATCCATCCCGCGTCTTGAGAACCACATCACAATTCCTCGCCAGCAGTCTTACTCGCCAGAAGCTTGTTCTTTACAATCATTTCACTCTCAACAACTGATCGAATGAGGTTTAATGTCAGTTCCCTCCCCTTTGTAATACTCGTAGGCGAAGCATCGGCTGGGACATGAAGAAACAGGGCCTTTCTGGGTCTCTGCAGTTTCCACAGCTCAGACAGACTTGAGTAGTAGATAAAGTCGCACATAAAGTGGCCTGCGTCTTCCGATATGCGCAGATCCGCCTCCTGTGCTTCCTGTCAGTATTGACACAGTCTCGGATCTGCTCAGCTTACCGAACTGTGCTCCTGCCACAAAGGGAGTATTTCATCGAGGCTCAGCTCCGTCTCAATCTCCTCTGGAAGGCCTCGCCACGGCCAGTCATGCCTTTCTCTCTCTTCTTCTCTGTCTATGTATTCGCCATCGACATCCGGATGCTTGTACCCGTCACGGTGACCTCTCCTCTCAATGGAGTAGAATGGTCGAGGACCAGCCATTCCAATGTGGATGACAATGTCAAACTTCTGTGGCGTGTCATGGAAAGACGGCACAAGGCCTCTCACGACCCGGTAATTGACACGGATAGGCTCAGGGTGCACCACGATGCGTACCTTTGGCAGAACAACAGCCGCATGCCTCGAGTCAGGTTCCTTGGCTCGTAGCGGAGGAAGATGCAAAGGCAAGCTGTTGGCGATTTCCCATGAGGGGTTAATGGGATACTGTTCTCTGAACGGCTATAGCATCAGCGGGTTAGCAGGAGTAACACAGCCTCGTATGACACTGCATATCCCGGCCAAGGTGTCACGATCTTGAGGTTTTGCAGTGCTGTGTGACGTCGAGCGGGGTGGTCAAGCAAGCAAATGACGCTTAAGATGAGAGAGGAAGCAAAAACATACACCAAAACCTGTGACAAGCACAGTAATCTCATCAGGGTCTCCAATCTGCGAACCCATTATGCGTCGAGACTATATCTACAATATAATAAACTAGCAACCAGGAGGATGGAGAGAAGGAGGAGAATCTGGTCTTCTTGATATACTACCTTAGTAGTTAGTGGGGATGACAGGATCATCAAGTTGCCAACCTATAAATACCAAATAACCCTCCATGGGTAAGCTGAGTGAGAAGACATAGATAAAAAGGGTAAAGTTGGCTTGTCGAATCCTAAATCAGACTTAAGCTGACCTTGGTTTTTTATTTACCTTACCATCTGCTTACTCTTTTCCTTTTCTGTTCTCTTTCTTCCTCTACGAGATTTTTGACCGAGGAATCACAGATAGGTACTTAGGTACCCAATGACCAACTTCTTCAACGGGAACGGAACGGGAATTGGACCAATGACATAGCAGCGTTTAACGTTAATTCGTTACCAAGACATGCAGGCTACCAAGTTCGGCATAGGTATAGGGTAGTTACAATATCAGAAACAAATACATCATCAATGAATTGTGATCATTTAACTTATATTGTATTGGCTTATGACTGGTTTTCATGTATCATGGTAGCGGTAAGCTTGAATATTCAGTAATAGCAAGGTTTCCCTTTTACCATAGTATGTAAATTCATGACAACTGAAGCATTGCGCATCTTTAAGCGTTACATTGAACGAGAGCCTGTTGGGGTTACTTGCATATAGGGTCTTAAACATTGGAGTCAAAGGGGCAACTCGGATAAAGCTGAAGGGTTGAGCACCGAAATGAGTATACATTCGTCAACAGAAAAAGAACAAAAGTTGGAACAATGCCGTCGTCTATCCTATAATAATTGCTCATGTTTCTTGATAGACTCCCCCACTTAAGGTAGCCCCTCCATGCGGAGTTACCCAAAACAGACAACCACCAAGTAGCAGCTTGGATTCATCCTTTATAATAAACACCTTACTTCAGAGCGACTGCAAACTTTTTCATACGTATTATACAAGTTAAACGACACCGCGAAAAAGATATAAACGTTGGAATTACAAAACCTAGTGTATTTCGTGAGAAGCCAACACGAAAAGTAACCTCCAATTCATTCTGCCAGACTCTGCAGCGGTCACCACATTGTTCATCCAGATACATTACTCAAAGGATACAATGGGGTCAACTCCGGACTACAGCCTGCCCCCGCAGGAGCTTGAATTTGACGGGTTTCTCTTCGATATGGACGGTACTATCATCGACTCCACGGAAGCAGTAGTGAAGCACTGGGAGACGTAAGTGCAGCGGCAGCCACCTCGCGTCTTACGCGGCCAAGCTCAAGTGACTAACCAAGCAAAGAATTGGGAATGAGATAGGCGTTGCCCCCGAAGTTATCCTCGAGACGTCTCATGGACGACGAAGCATCGACATCCTAAAGATTCTCGCACCTGAAAAGGCGAACTGGGATTGTAAGTGACAAGAGAACACCCCGGCTACAGCAAGCATGGCAAAGCACACAAACACATGAATATGCATGGACATGTCAGACGCAAAACCTCACTTGAGGATATATCCTAGCGGACATGTATGTGCTGGCGAGGCTGGGCATGCCCCCATGCAACTAGACTATCATAGCTAGCTAGGCCGAGCGACCGCTGATCACTTCCCAGATGTATGTGACATGGAAGGACGTCTACCCAAGTACCACGGCCATGAGGCTGTCGAGATACCTGGCGCCCGTTCCATGCTAGAAGCACTTATCGCCAGATCTAGCCCATGGGCGATCGTCACCTCAGGCACCGTCCCGCTCGTCACCGGATGGCTACGTGCTCGAGACCTGCCCACACCGCGGTCGGGTCACCTCGTCACGGCAGAGTCCGTCGAGAATGGTAAACCCGACCCCGCCTGCTACCGCCTCGGCCGTGAGCGTCTCGGTCTGCAGGCGGAGGACGCCCAGGTCCTCGTCCTTGAGGACAGCCCAGCAGGGATCCGCGCAGGGAAAGCAGCAGGCTGCAAAGTTCTCGGCCTGGTGACTAGCCATACCGTTGAGCAGGTCATTGCTGCAGAACCAGACTGGGCCGTTCGAGACCTCTCTTCAGTCAAGGTGCTTCGGAGCGAGGGCGGAAAGGTGACTATCGAGATTTCAAATGCGCTCCGAACATAACTGAGCCTCGGCATTGGGTGCGTCAGCGGAGCTCATGGTGGAACTGACGTGGGTGGGTGAGAGCGAGTGAGTGAGTGAGGGAGGGAGGG